ACCCAACTATATCGGCTGTTCTAAGTTGATTTCATAAACCCCTCGACTTTTAACTTTTGGGGAGTTCAGTGCCAATTCCTACACTTTTTTCGCTCAGTATCATGGAAGTTCTTTTCAAGTTTTACTGATTAGTAGTATCTAGGTCAGTATACAGAAACCTGAAGGGATGCTGTGGAAAAGTGAACTTCCCTTGAAACTACGCCCTCTCTAACTGCGAAATTCACTAGGTTGCTGTTTGGTCCGTCTGTTTTTTTGAAAACTTAAATCAGCTTATTTCTAATAAAATTTAATGCTTCTTTTGGTTTTTCGGATTTGTCATGCCATTCTAGTTTAAAATACTGATTAAATGATTCCGCAAATGATTCCTCTAAGTAATTGTGGAGATACAATGAAAACAAGGTTTTGAATAAACGTAGAAGAGGAATACTTATAAATTTCCTGTAAAAAAAAAGTACTCTGCATAGAATTTTTCCACTCTGCAACATTTCAGGAATTGGTAGCAGTGTTCTTCCGCAGTTAAGAGTTATTAGCCTGAAATGATCGTAAGACTGTAACAATCTACTTTTTTTTTTCACAATAATTTCACACATTTCACAATGAGGAGACTGTCTTTAGCTGGTACTAGAAGCCAAAAAGTTCTATGGAAGTTCAATATATTTTAATCAATAGACGTCTGTTATGAAAGTTATATCTTGCTTTAAAATATTGACAATGTATTATTCTGCAGACTGGTAGAAAGTGACCGTCTTTTTAATGCTTCCTAATTTCGAGATAATGCAGCTAACGGAGGGGGTTAATGAAGCATGCTTAGCCTACAAAAAAGAGTCATCAGTAGTGCTTTAGTCATATGAACATTATAAAACAGTCAATTTTGTGAACAGAGAATAAAATTGACGTAAACAGTTGTTTCAACGTTTGAGAAGAAAGGGAGGACTTCTAAGCATTCTAAACCGTATTTTCAATTCGCTAGTTAGTGTTTTTGTTGTACAGGTAAACATAAACTCAATTTATCATTTTCCCTTTAACGTCGTGTACAGTAATCCTCTAAACTGTCCAGGCTATAACAACTTTAGGAAAAACCTGAGCTAACAATTAACTTGCTAGTTGTTTAGACTTCTTCGTGATTTTAAAATACGTACCAACTGTATTACTTTAGCGGAAGAAAAGTAAGAAACAGGAAATGCTGGTATAAAGGCAAATTTCTATGACTCTGCGGACCAATTTAGAGTAAAATGTAACTTTTATAACACGTGTCTAGCTACTAAAGCATACCGGACTTCCAAAAACGCTCCTGGGGTTTTGAGAAGCAGCTGAAGACGGTCCTGTCATGTGAAATGTATGGAATTGGTTTTTCTTTTTCAGTCTTACAGCCTTTCAGGCTGCTAACTCTTGACTGAGGAGAAAACTGTTATCGATTTTTGACATGTTGCAGTGCAGAAAATCTCAAGCTGAGTTTTTTTTTTTAAATTTATATGTACGGTTTTTTATATATATATATTAGAAAGCTTGTTTTTGTTGTACCTATGCAGTTACACTGGGATATCTTTTACAGAGAATTATGTATTTTAAATTAGGATGAAGCGACTAATTTGGAGAACCAGAAGCATTAAATTTTGTAAAAAATGAGCTGAATAATAAGTTTTTGAAGAGAAACATATCATGCAGCAACCTAACAAGTTTTGAAGTTTTAAGAAGCGGAACTTGGCTTAGAATTTGCTTTTCCACGTTCTCTCTGCAGCTTTTCGTATACTGGCCAAGATTCTACTGCTCAATAAAGTGTAAAAAAGTTTTAAGATGTTATATGAAACAAATGTACAATTTTTCATTAAAAAGCTTATTTGATTTTTTTTTTTTGTTAATTTTTTTTGAAGTTGCTGTCGGTTAAGAGCAAAAAAATTTTTTGACATTAAAATGATATTGTTGCATCGTTATGGTTAAACATGTAAGTAACCGATGAAGCTGATAGAGAAAAGATATTTCAATGTTTTTTGTAGTACCTGTACTGTTAGCACTGGAAGTTTGAATAGTGCTTGTTGTGCTTCCAGGAGTTGCTGTCGTTGTTGTAGTGCTTCCAAAAGTTGTTTTCGTTGGTGAAAAAGTTGTTGTTTTGCGTGTCGAATATGATTCAGTAGTTAAAGATGGTGTTATAGAGATAGTTGTTTCAGAGGTAGTTACTGTAGTCACTGGACGGCTACCAGAACTTAAATTAGAGCATCGATTACTTTTACTGCTGCTTGGCAACTAACTCATTTTTTGAGAGCAACATTTTTTCGTTGTTCTAAAATTTCTGTGTTTTGGTAGCTGTCTTTTATTTCTTTCTCTTTACAACAGTTATTTTATCAGTTTTTTATACTTACTGAAAAGCAGGCAATAAAAACAAAAAGGCTTAATAATTTCTAAAAAGCATAGCAAATGGTTGCTGTACTGACTGTTAAATTTCTGTTTAATCTGTGTACTGTACTGGAAAAAATAGATCGGAATGGAATGGAAAAGTGAAAAATTAGTGAAAACTCATACATTGCAATGACGATAATTGCTAAAATAATGATGCATATCAGAAAAATGGCGCTATAAATATAACAACGTTTTGTGCTCTCCGAATGATCCCACCACCAAACTTTTAGTCTTAATGACCAGGAATTGTGATAACTTTCTGGATACCTAAAAAAAGTTGTTTCTATACTTATATATTCGTGAAATATTAGCAGAAATAAAGTTTTTGTCTTTTTTGGGTGTAGTAAGACTGAAAGGCTGTTTGAGTCTTCTTTAGCACGGTTTTTAAGTATGTTTGAAAAAGCATAGTTGCTAAGTATGGAATTTTTTTGACACTTATTTCTGACTCTAAACATTTGAACGGTTTTGGCTCAATAATTAGGGTTTAGAATTTGGTCTTTGTAATCTGTTTAAGTCATTTGTCTAAACTGTTTCTTTTCAGGTACTACCAGAAGTTTATTCAAAATATATTGCCTTTTCAAGCCGTTACCTATATTTCCTCAGTAAAAAAGGGTTATGTACATCAATTCGATAAATTTTGTTTCTTTATGGGTTCTCTATTTGAAAAACTATCTCTTTTTAAAAGTGCCTTGGTTCTCAATCACGAATGCTAACAAATAAAAACTTTTTTAGCTTACTGGAAAACATTTGTGAAAAAAAAGATAGTCATTGCTAAGAGTAAAATTTTTTAAAAAACAGTGTAGGAACCTGTATCCAACAGATGGTAGGCTACTTGGATCGCCTAAATCCACATCAGAACTTGCAGGTATCATTGCCCATTAGGCGCTAGAATTGCTCTGCAGAGAACGTCGTATCACCTCTGAAAATACAAAACCGAAAAAAAAAAAGAATTTATTGCCAAAAATATACGAATCATCATAAAACGTACTAAAGAAAGTCTTCTGTTACAATACAGCAAGGCTGCTGTCGGTATAATTGCAACTTTTAATTTTCATTCTCTGCTTGCTTAGTGGAAAAGTAAGTGAAAATAAAATTTGTTTAACATTTTACAGACTGAAGCAAAAGTGAAACTTGGAAAGTGTTAAAAGATTTTTTAAAAAAATTTGTAAAACTATTTTTTTCTTTTTACTTTATATTTAAAAATAAAAATTTTATCAGCAGCTGTAGAAATATAGAACTGCCAGAAAGTTTTATTTATTTTTTACTTTTATTTTGACACTGTGTCTTTTTTTTTTGGCAATATGCAAATTGCGGTGTGTTACTGATTGTTAAATCAGTTCTGGTTACTAAACTGTTCTCCTCGCTTCATTTCTTCTGCAAACATACCATCGATGAGAGTTTCAAGAACTGAAAAACTTCAAAAGAGAGACTCACTGGTGATTACTTGGGAACTTTGCTTTTCTGAATGACAAAGAAACTTTATTTGGGCATACTTTAATCTAGATTTAAATTTCAAAATGTTTAAAAATAAGTTTCAAACTTTTACTGTGACTTACGTGGCAAATTCAAAAAATTTTTTTTTGGCGTTTGCTATACTGATCGGTAAAAACCGAAGTATGTTTTAAATTGTAGTCAAATTTATAAATGGAAAACCTTATCAGCGAAAGAATCACTAAACGAAACGATGACTCATTGAAGTAAAAATATGCAAAAAAGTTTTTGTATTTTTACTCTTATTCTAGAGCAACAATGTTAGCAACACCTTACTGAAATTAACAACTAGAAGTTGTTTTGTCGGAATCTTGAATTAAAGAAATAATAGAACAGCTTTTCAAAAGTGTAATTACTTAAGAGCCAAAACTCTAAAAGTAAAACGCCATTTACTGTTACTATGCCTCAATTAAAATGATTTATGACAACATTGAGAACGAAAGCTATAATTGGGTGTGTATAAACATTGGTGAGATGTTGTAACAATTGTTATCCGATATCGAACGAACACTATTAACGTCGAATACGTGGCCGGTAAACGTGAAACTCGTACTGTTGAAATAATTTTGAACTAGCAAAAGTTTAACAACAGAAGTCTTACTATTTGTTGTGTTTATCGGAGTGCGATCAACAGTTTAAAAATATTAGAAAAAGTATAACTTCTTTTTTGCTGAAAACTAGCCTTGACGAATCGTTACTACAAGATATGAATCTAATATTTTCCTTGAAAACCTGTGATTTTACTATATTAATCAAGAATTCTTCAAGTTGTCAGGTCTTTTTGAACTGTTGCTGTAACTCTTAAACCGCTAAACTGAGCGAGTATTTGAAAACCAAACTAGATTTTTAAAATTTTCAAACATTATTTTGAAAGTAATAAAAAAATAAGCAAAATAAATTTTTTACAATTACTTCACTACCACTTCATTACAGTTTTTTAACAGAAGAAAAGAATAAAGCAATACATAGCCAAATGTTAACCTTGATAAACAGTTTAAACCACAGTCTTAGTTTTTTTCGTTTATGGTCTTATTTGGCCACATATTTTAGTAGACAAGTTGACGGGAAGAGATAAGAATAGAATTGAAAATAAAGAAGCATCGACTATTGGTAAACTCTTAGTGGTTTCCAGGATCACCTTGTGACCGATAGTTGATACAATACCGGATTCCATCTTAAGGTAACTGCAGACACTTGTAAATTTTTTCCTTTGTAATTAAAAGAAAAATTTCCTTCGCTTTTTTTTTCAAACAAAAACAAAGAAGAATATTCATTAAAAAAGTTGAAGGGAGAAAAGAAAAATATTTGTAATATCTAAATTGACAGACGGTTTTTGACACGACACTACAAAATATTACCAAATAAATCATAATTTCTTTTAGACTCAAACTACGTAACATAATGATAACAGTTAACAAGCAGCTTATACAGACCACTAATAATCATGGCGATAACGTTTTAAATTGCAGTTACTTTTGTTGATTTTTAACTTTTCTTAAGATTCATAACAGACTGATTACAGCGATCTGAAAAAAGTCAAAAAAGTTTTCACTTGATCATTGTATTTACAAATTTTAAAAATTCATCAGCAGATCAGTGTTGTTTTTTAAGTCATAATGACTCAGAACCAGAACCGTAGTTCTTAAAATATGAAGGTCACTTAGGTCAACACCAAAAAAATAAATAAATAAAACAATAAACTTTTGATCAATTATTTTTATCTTTTCTATTTCCTTCTTTTCTCGTTTTTTTTTTTTTTTTTCTGTGAATTACTAATTTTTTTTGGTTAAAAAAAAATTGGTTAAAAATAACAACAACTGCCAGGTGAAAATGGTTCAGTGATTAAACTGAAAAACGTAGTAAAGAAAAAATTGTTATGGAAGAGACTGCAAGCATAAGATAAGAAAAATGAATCGTTAGAGTGCATCCAAGTAATAATATTAAACAACAAAAAGACAGAGGACTGACGAAGAAGAAGAAGATGAGAAGTTTGAAAACAGAAGTTTACTTTTATGACGGCAATGTTACTAGATGAAAAGCTTTCTGATTTATTGAGATGGTAAATTTGTTCTTTTTTTGTTTTTTT